TGGGGCAGCCACAGCCTCCCTGGGCAACCTGTGCCAGTGTCTCACCACCCTTAGATTCTCACATCCAACCTAGACTTTCCCTCCTTCAGTTTGAACTTGCTACCCCTAGTCCTATCATTGCAGTTCCTAACACAGAATGCCTTTCCAGATCCCTTGTAGCCCCTTCAGATATTGAAAAGTTGCTCTGAGGTCTCCACGTAGTCTTCTCTTCTCCAGGCTGAACAGCCCCAAATTCCTCAGCCTGTCTTCATAGGGGAGATGCTCCAGTCCTCTTAGCAACTTTGTGGCCTCCTCTGGACTTGCTTCAACAGTTCCATGTCCTTCTTGTGTTGAGGACACCAGAACTGTGTGCAGTATTCCAGGTGAGGTCTCAGGAGAGCAGAGTAGAGGGGAAGAATCACCTCTTTTGCCCTGCTGCCCACACTCCTTTGGATGCAGCCCAGGATTCAATTGTATTTACTCATATAACTGTGGTACAGAAGCACATGTTTTAAACCAAGAAAATATGTAGCTACTACTCTCTGTCTTGTAGGGAAGAAGTTGTCAGTGGCAGAGAGAACTGTCCCACCTGCAGAACCTGTTGAACCAGTGCTGTGTGGCAGCTTAGCCATTGGAGGAACATCACTGGCCATAGCAAAGGCTGGTGCCACCATTAGCCATGTCCCGTTGTACTTGCACATTGCACTGCTGAAACATGACCAGGTACATGTGGCTTTTGTCATTTCGTTTATTTTATCCCAGTTATCATTATTATTATAGAATTCTGAAGCCCATAGTGCCTCGTGGCAGTGTTAGTAAATTTACCCTTAACACCATTGCCTGTAGCACTCCTTGAACCCTGTGCCATAATTAAAATATGTAAGAAATTATTATGAGTTTTACATGTTTATTTTCACCATTTCAATTACAGGAGCCACCTAAAGAAATGAGTCTACCACTGCCAATGGTTACTCTGTTGAACTGTGAAAAAATTGCACCTGCAAAACTGAAATTAGTGAAAGAAGTTATGCTTATACCACCAGCTGAGTTATCACTCAAACAGGTATTGTGTCAGTTTTGTTTTTTTATAAATGTGTTCTATAGATGTCATATAAACTATGTACATGAGTATATAGATATTTTCAATACAGTCCTTACAAATCATATTTTTCATTTTTTGCTTGCAAGGCCAAAGTCTTAACAAATGTTGGTTCAGAATTCTAACACCCATTACATTAAAATAAGTGAAAAGATGAAGAGTTAAAAGAAGAAGCAGGAAGATTTCAAGTTAAAAATGTATGTTGGTGTAGAGCAAAAAAATCAGTGCATTGAAGAAGATGGAGGGGAATTGTGTTACACAACAATAAGGGATTTACATTCTGTTTAGAGTGTATTTACATTTGTAGATTGTAAATAGTATCAGGTGACTGATGTAGCCTACGAACCAACAAAACTCCTAACAGATTCACAGGAAAGCATAAAATGTTGGGAATAAGCTTCTTTAAAAATGAAATTGTGAAGATGGAAGGGAATACAAAGAGCAGGAAGGATGAGACAGATGGGATCAACCCTCTCTGTTTTGTTTAACCATGTGTTGCATTTTGGAATGTATCTGCACAAGATGCTACTTTAGAGCTGTGATTTCTGCTTTGTGTGCTGGTGGCCTGAACAAACAGCTGAGCTCAATTCTCTTTGTTTTTCCTTTAACGTTTTCGAATTGGCATCGAGAGCTGTTAACGAGGTTGCTAATTCTGTAGGTTCAAGCCGAAATGCCTCCTGGTGCTCACGGGAGAGAAGCTGTTTGCTGCAGTGCACACATAGCCCTTGGTCCTGTGTTGGTGTGTTGTCAGCTGTGACTGACTCCTGCCCCCTTCAGTATTGCTTTCCTGGCACAGTTTGAGAACATCTGAAATGTTAGCGAAGTTAACATTGAACTTTTACTAACTCTGCTGAAAAGGAAAAAGAGTCTTGCATTAAAAGTGATGGGTTCATTTCACTGAGCATCCATCAATGTTTAAAATTAAGACAGGGAGGAGTTTTTTTACTGCTTCCTGGAAGTATTTTAAAGGTAAATGCATTCCATCAGATTTTCCAGTTAGGGAATCTTAGATAGAGTCACAACTGTGAACAGGGATTATCATCTTCCCACTTCTCCGGTATGATGCGGGCCCAGATGTTGCTTACCTGTTAGATTTGGGAAGGGATACTTTTGGGCAATAGACTGCTTTTTTTTTCTTTTTTCCCTTTCAGCAACATAGTCAAATATTCCCTGTCATTCCACTGCTGCTATCCCTATATCACTGAACACTTGACTGTGTTCTGTGGGTGAAGTGATTGTGTTCAGGAGCCTATAATGGGGTGTTTTTTGAAGACTTTATTATATAAAGATCTGCATTTAGAATAAGTGCTCCCTCTCTCCTGATGTAAGCTGCTAAAATGAAACAACCTAACTTTCTTTTGAAGATTACCGTTGTTTAATTTCAGAGCCTGGAAAGAGTTCTGGATGTTCAGAAAGAAATGACAAGACTGTTGGAGACTCCAGGCAAAGTGGTACCGTAAAAATGTGTGCTAATAATGTGATGGACTTCATTTGATCTTTCTACTACTATTGTCCTTTTAAGCATGAACATGGAATTCTTCACCTGTTACAGCCTTAGTCTTAATGGCACAGAACAGAAGATGTGTTTGTCTGACAGGGGAATAAAATATTGTCCATTTAGTGATACTAAATTAGCAAATATAGAAGAAAACATTGTTCTAAGCATAGGAAGACTTTCTGTTTACCTGAAGAAATATCCTGGGAGTGAATGGTGTCACAGTGAATGTACAATACCTTGCTACACCTCCCACACATAGCATGTTTTATTTAAGGTAATATTACTGTACCTTAAATAAATATCAGTGCTTTGTGGAAAGCAAATTTGTTGGGTTTCTCCAAGTACAGAGTCTAGATTCTCATTTCTGACATTCCCCTCTAGTTTGAATGGGCTAGATGAGAATCTTTTGAAAAATCAGTGTTGGTTGGACTGATGCCCACATAGAAATACTTGAAATGAGTCCTCACCACAAAATAAAACTGGATAACTGCTGATAGTATTCAAGACAAAACAGAAGCTGTTTCCTAACTTAAATATTTGTGATGTCCTTAGACCAAAATTCAGTCCACTTTTTAAAAATGTTTTCCCCAAGGTCTCTCTGTAATCTTTGTGTTTTTGCATGGAATTGATTTCTTCTTTCTCTCCCAACAGCCCACTCCTCAAACAGCAGACAGTAAGAAAGGAAAAACACATAATTCAGGGAAGAAAGCTCTGGTAAGAAAAGAGATTTTCATTTTAAGCCTTCAACAAGGTATTAACAACAGCAGGGAACCAAAATGTTCTTAAGAAATGAAACATTAATCTACATCACCATTTTGGAAAGGTCAAGACAAGACTTAAATATTCCAAATGCTCATGTTTTGCATAATAATTTAGATTCTTCTGGCTATACCTTCCATTCCTGTGGAACAATAGTGCAAATAGGGGAAATTCTTCCGGGATCTGGCAATTTTTCTCATATAGAAGTCCTGGTAAATTATCCAAATGAGCATTTTTAAGGCCTGTAGCAGCAGCAGAGAACAGGCTCTTTGGATCACATAGGCCATAAAACTGTTACCTGTAAGACTTGACTATTGTGCTGTTCCCTAACCCTTGGAGCTTAACTCCCTCCTTAATCCTGCTGCATTCAGTTCCCAGTTCCAGTTTGAGGTTATGGATAATGGCAGGTACAAACCAGAAGCTAAAGGGCAGCACTCACAGCAGTGCACAGGACATTATTTTATATAACTCAAATGATCTTTTTTTAGCACTTCAATACCTGTAGTTTATAGGTGAATTTTCCAGATAGTGGGAGAGAAATGCCATTCACGTTTTGCTTTCCATTTTGAGACCATTAAAATATTATCAGGTGAGAACTGTGGCTGCTGTGGAGTACAGAAAACAAAGGGTGAACAAAATTTTTCCTATATTATTGGTGCTTAAACAACACAAAATTCTTTATGGTTAAGCTGCTGCCCAGTGTTTTTCAGGTGGGTCATTTCCATATTCTTACCACAATATGTACTGCAATTGTAAGAATAATTCCATAAGATACACACAAAGAAACAATGCATTAGATCCTCTGAAAAAAAAAAAAATCCATTTATTTCAATAGGATAAAATTAAAGGAGATAGTAATGAAACTAAATTTTAAACTGATAAAAACACCATGTTAGTTTGAACTTTTTTTGGTGGGGAAAAATTACAAAGTAGGCAATGAAAAAGAACTTAGTTAGGTTATAGAAGTAAAACCAAGACAGCGAAAAATGCTTTTATGAAGATAAACAATGCTTTAAATAATAATAAACAAGGAACAACATATGGATGCCTTGAAAAATCACATGAAACTGCATATTTAACCTCTGCCTGATGTCAAATGTTGCAGCATTTCTTGCTGTCTGTTGCTGCAGCTTAGTGCTCCAAAAGCAACAAGTCAAACAGATTCTCTTCACTTGCATGTTGCTGCAAAATAATCTCGTTACAATTTGTTCTGCATTTTCTTCCTGATTTTTATGTGAAGGAACATTCATATATTGTCTTTAGCTAAGTGCCTGTTCTCTCTGTAGTTCCCCAGCTCTTGTCAAAATTTATGCCTTCCAATTGACTTCTCCAGTCCAACTCAGGTTTATATCCTGCTGCTTTCTGGGCAACTTAATGCCATTTTTTAGAATCTGAAATTCACAGATTTTAAAGTTAAAAAAACCAGTGTTTGAAAAACCTACAAAAAACCTGACAGCAGAAGGACATGTGAAATATTTTCTCAACACAACTCTGCTTGTGAAATGAATTCTTGGAAGATTCTAGGGCTTCTTGACCACTCCATAGAGTCCACATCAAACTTGTAGCTGAGGATAAATGAGTAAAAGCTGTTTAAAAGTGGAAAAAATGTTTTTGTGGCAAAGGGTTGGTCCTCAGGACTGGAAACTTGTACACAGCATTTGTGGCAACTCAGTGGTTGTTAAAGATGCCTCTAAAATCTTTTTGCAAACTAGTACTGGCCATACAAGACTGAGAACTGCATGGCTAGACATATTTCTGAGGATTACTAGCTCTTTACTCATTAGCACTTGATTATCTCTTCCATAGGAAATCATCCTTAAAGCTCCACTGTGATTTCTGAGAACAGATTTATAATTTGATGACTAAATGCAGACTGAAACGATAGTCAAAAGATACATATAAGTATTATCTGTGTGTGTAATTAAATTGATTATTTTTGTTTTGTTTTCAGCCACAAGCCTTAAAAAGGATCTCACGCTTAGGTTGCCTAACAACAGGATGTAATAGCCTAGAAGAACCAATACTCCTAATGCAAACAGCTTGCAAAAATCTAGGTCTGGAGCTCGGAACAGACGTGTACTTAGCAATAAATTGTGCTGCTCATGAGTTAATGGATTATGTAAGTTATTTTCAATATCTCTTTTCTTGACTGCCATTTTTAAACAATATTTACTATTACATTGCAAACTCACCCAGAAGCTTCTAACACCATTTTTAAGGTAGCAAGCAGGCAAAAAAAAGAGAATTATCTCTGCATTTATAAACTGTGGTCAAATCAGTCCTACAAGTGTAGCAGATGTGTTACTAGACTGGGAGTGCAAGGGGATGAGGTATGTAGACATGGTTTCACTTGAATCCTTTGAAAGGTCTAAGTCTGCACCACCCAGGTTTATTCCTTTCCTCTCTTTATTTAATAAGATTTTTCAGATCAGTCTCTATCAAACCTAGCAAACTGTTTCAATAGGCAAACACCCACTGCAAGCTCTGATTCATGAGACGTGTGAATTTCACCTTACATCTCAGACAATTTGCAATTAAAGTATTAAGCAGCAAATCCTGGTTGGTTGGTTTGTTTGTTGTTTATTTTTTAATTTCAGCACGAGGCATAAATGAAATAATTGTATTCTATTCACCTTGCTTTGAAGGATGAAGAAAAGGAATTATTTATTACTTTGCTAATTCCTTAACACCACTAGATGTTAATTTTTCCATTCTGTCACACTACATCTGTTGTTTTCTTCAAACTGTTCTGGCATTCCCATGTATTTCTACTATGGTTTGTTTGTATACACATTAATGTTCATCTCATTGTGCATTCATTTTTTTAATTTTTAAATATTTTTGTCTCCAGATGAAGTCTAAAAAAGTTCTTGCCTCTTGTTCCACGATCAATCAGGTTTTTGTCTAAGCAGACAAAGAAACTTCCTATTCCATTGAATAGCTCGTGAGATTTTGTGTGTTTGGCTGTTCTGTAGTGCCAAAGCTTCCACTGCTTATATACTTTGTGAAAGTAGTTGCTTTCCTGACAATCTGGGAAATCTGTATCCTATACCAGAATGTGCAAAATCTCAACCATTCTGCCATCAGTAATTCTGTAAATTTCTGTTATTGAGCTGTTAAAGTCACTACAGCAGTGGTGTCCCCTAAATAATCCTCCTAGGCTGCAGTTTGTGCTTCCCACAATGATGACACTAGTTTTAAACTAGCCTTTTTTTTTATTTTTTGAAAGGGAAAGACTCAAGGCAGTACCTTGTCTCTGAGCACTGAGGCTGTACTCCTTTTTCCCCAGCAGTATTTTCTTGATTAAAATGAGGACAAAACAATTTTTGGAAGTGAAAAATGAACTTTTTTCATGCAAGATTCAGTGAAAATGTCGAATATTGCTAACTTTACGCTATAGTGGTGTAAAATTGGCAGTGCTGGCTAGAAAATGCTGAAATAGATCTGTCTTGTTTTGGCAGCAGCATCTTTTAGAGGCTTTGGCATGAGCCACTGGAACTCATTGTCATTTAGGCAGAGTTTTTTTACCAAGGTGCTGACAGCTTAGACACAGTGGAGGAGTGAATATTTGCTGCTTGAAGAACTCACACTCCACTGCCTTAATGCTGGTAGTGTCACAAGTTGTGTATACTCTGGTTTTTAAGGTCTTACTTTTCTTATCTTTCATGCTTTTTACTTTGTTTTCTAGGTTAAAGGAAAATATGAGATACTCACAGGCACGTTCAAGAGTCCTGGTGAAATGGTTGCCATGTATGTGGAACTGATTAATAAATTTCCTTTTATTATTGCTTTGATAGATCCCTTAAGAAAGGAGGTAAGATACCACAGTGCAGTGCTTGAAAAGCTGATTCTGTGTTCAGTGGCATATCACTGACCTTGTTGCATTTTTACAAGACATGTGAAATACAAAGCTTATGGTTTTTGAGTCTTTAAGCACAAAACTAGCACTATAAAATACATCTAAATTCATTTGCATACCTTTTATCGACAGTAACTCTATTTTTTTCCTATATTTTTTATATAATTCCTGCTAGAAAATACTCCTGGCATGAACAGAACACAGTCAGTACAAATATCTTAAAGGATTGCAAGAAATTGCTTTTTTTTATCTGATTCTACTTCCTAACCCACTGTTGTTTTTATTACGTTTTCCTTCTTAGGTAAACAATTCAAATCCTAAAATAAAATTTAAAATGCAAGTGATTGATATTGTATTATATCATGTTGGAGAAGCAAAAATTTGGACATAGTTGTATATTCCTTGGAATCACCAGAACAAATTATTGCTGTTCTTTCTGCTGGATATTTAAAATCAAAGGCAGAACAGTTCTGTCACTGACAGAATTTCCAGGCAGAAATTTTAAAGTGGTAGTAAGATACCATGTGTTTTCCTCTGTTATCAGTTAGAGGAGTTAAATAGTGTGGCAAATTCTACAGCAAAAAAAGTACAATACTATGAAGCATTTTATCAAATTGTGGGAAAGAGACAGATTGCAGAACCTTAAATATTCACACTTAGACATCAGATTACGTTCCCATGTATTACAAAAAAAAGGGTAAAAACTTATTTGTTGCAAAACCTGCAATTGTAGACATAGATTCTGCAGGTGCACAACTTAATAGAAATTTGCTCTTGGTGTCAATTTGCCACTTTATCTGCTTTAAAATAAATACAAGAAGTCATGAAAAAAGCACCAAGGTTGTGATTGAAGGGGGAAGCAAAAAGTGACGTTGGCTTTGTGAGTCTGCCCAGAGCCCCAGTCAATACTTCTAAAACAGATGAGCTGCAAAATCCATCTGATTTTTCTTCTTAACTGGAGCTTTAAAAGTTCATTTTTCAAGTATCCTTACTATTATCCCTACTATTACCTCACTCTAGTTAGCCTTGGCTCCCTGTGCTGTGTCAGACTCTCTGAGTTAGCCTGTTCAAAACACCAGATTATTCCCCACTCCTGCCAGGGCTGCAAACTTCCTTGAGAATTCTTAGGAAGAAACATATTTGCAATATGAGAATCTGCAGGAGAATTACAGCAGATGCTGAAGGACAGTTGGAAACAGAGTTAGGGGAAATGCCTCTCCTTTTCCTCCCCCCTGACAAATCTCAGGACTTTGCCCATGCCACATCTTTGCCACAGATAATTAGGTCCTTGAGGATTAGCTCTGGTACCAATTCAATAATTCATTGCCAGGCAGCAGACCACTTCAGTGCTCAAGTTTAAACATTTGTTCAGGTGTCAAAAACTTCATTTTCACTTACTTAGAGGCTTGAAATCCATATGGGAATGGACCCTGACACAGATTGTAAGTAGATAGGTACAAAAGTCTGATCCACAGACCAAGAGTTATTACTGGCAGAATTCTGAGGTAGAAAAGTAATGTTTTTAATATGAGAATTTTTCATTCTGTGGACACAAAGCAAAGGAATTGATAAATTTCTTCTTTCAAGTTCTTTACATACCCTTGTCCTTTATTTATCCTTACATATTAGTACCATGTGGACAGTGCATTAAAGTCAAGAAACAGAGACCCTGAGAAATGGAGTTTTGCTGGAAAGAGAGTGTTGTGTTCTGCTGTTCCATATGGGTCAATCTTACAGCTCTGATCCTTCTGTCTTGATATGTGTCACCGAGTCTATGACTGTCTCCTGTTGCATTTTGTTCCATTCAAACAACTACGACTCTTAAAATATTAACACAAGAATAAATCCTCTGAATAATTCTGTAAAAAATTATTTGATAGGCCATTAAAAGAATACACATTTCAGGAAGGCAATCAAAACAGCAAAGCCCTACAGTTAATTTAATTTGAAATATTTCAAGCTATATTTTATGCAAATTATTTTGCTTAATTCCAGAATAAAATTTATGTTTTCTAGCCAAACCTTAAAGTCCAAGGAAAATCCTAGTGGTATTTTTTTGGGGGGTAGACAGAGTATAAATATAAATACAGTATTTTTATATGAAGAATATATTTAGGCTCAAACCAAATTACTATTTCATTTTTTATTTTCATTGCCTCCAGTCCATTTAGGTTTTTTAACTCCAGTTATTTCCTGGGTGGTTTATGCAGGACAGAGAGCAATGGAGTGAGCTGTGCCATGCCCTTGGTTCCAAATGTTACCTGATTGCTGAAGATGGTGCCACGTGTATTTCCAAACCTCAAACTGACCAAAATATAAACACCCCAATGTGCAGTGGTGTGGTCCTAAAATATATTAACCAAACCAAGGTGTCAGACCTCATAGACCTCACTGGAATTCTCCATGGTGAGTACAGAGGGAAAGGCTGACAGTGACAAACCCTACGAGCTGCACCTGTAAATATTCCATCTTTTTCTTTCATTGTTGCCACTTGTCAGAAGGAACTGGAGTTCATGTTTTAATTCACAAATCTGTGGATGTTTGTGTGTGTGTGTCCTTTGATGCTGCAGCTAAGTGTTGTGCAGTTAGAGATCAGAATGGAACAAAATACAAAAGCTGTCGTCAATTAAAAATTCCAGACGAGTCCAAAACATTTACAATTGCTGTTTATTTAGATTATTGACTACATATTATTGAGCCTGTGTGGTGACAGCACTGAAACCTCGTGCAGGTTCCTGTGTAAGGTTTTTCTTTGTGTCACTTTATTCATTTTTATACCCAAGGAATACGTGGACAAATTTAATCTAAGTTCTTTCCTTATTCCTTAAAAACACCCAGAATCACTGTATCAAAGGGAATAAATAGCAACTTAAAAATTTCATTCAGTCAGGGTGAGGAAAAATCATTCCTACAGTAAGGAACACGTGTAAAATAAATAGCAGAGCCTCCTAGGCTGATCGGACAGGTCAGTGAGGGACAGAAACTAGGAGAGGATGTTAGACACTCCCTTATCCATGCTGAAAACAAAACATCGTGTTAACGCAGCAAACTCAAACAGTTCACATTTTTATGAGATGAGTTTCACTGGTTTTACTCCTGTTTGGATTTAAGCTTAGCCCAAGGGTAAAATGAATAAGAAGTGCAAACAATTTCTGTGTTGACTATATAAAATAGACACTAATGAAGGTTCTCACTCCCATTACATATAGGTCAAAGACATATTACCATATTAGGAAGTCCAGATGGAGAATCTCCTGATGACAGCCTCGTGGATCTGGTGAGTATTGAAAGCTGTTCAGTGGCAGAATTGCCAAAATACTGCTTTAAACATGTACTAGTTTTTAAGGAGAAAGCCTTTTTGTGCCTGAGAAAGAAACATTTTTCAAAATGGGCTTTTTCCAGAGTTTCTTTTTTCCCCACAGAGAGTTATTCTTTGAGTTTAAAGAGAACACACAGGAAATCTGCCAAAGCAGGGAGTATATTCAGAAGCGTGTATGATCTATTTGCTTGCATTAGTTTATTAAAAAATTGGGAGTCACTGAAAACATTCTGGTGTAGTAATAATATTTTAAGCAAAAAATTCATAACACCGCTATATTTAGCCTTTTTGTGTTAAAGCTACATTTGCAAATAAAACCTCATTTCATGTGCCAGTGAAAATTACTGTTTGCACCTGGAAAATCCTTCGTGAAGAGATTTTTATTTCTACTTATCGCAGGGATTTTCGCTGCGGAAGGATAAGGGTGTTAAATTAAAAGGAGGATAGTGTTTAATAATTAAGAATGACTTCACTTCCCAAAGTGTGGAGTTCTAAAACGTGCACTTTCCCATTTCAGGCTGTTGGCCTGGGTGCCAGGTTTGTCAAGTTGGGAGGTCTTTCCCGTGGAGAAAGGGTGACCAAATACAACCGCCTTCTTGCTATAGAGGAAGAACTGGCCAAGAATAGAACTCTACGTATGAGCTTCTTTCTTACTTTGTTTTCAGCTTGCAATGAATACGGGAACAAAGATTGGAGGGAGAATGATTGAAACTGCACCCCAGGAGGGAAGCGAAATCAAAAGACTATAAATAAGGGCTGACAAAAAAAACCTAGGATAGCACTTGCCACAATGTATATTGTTGTCCTAATGGATTATCTGTTTACTGAATGTTAAAATAGACTCCTTCTTGAGGAGTAGCCTACATTAAGCTTTTTTTTCCCCCAGAATTAATTGGTTGGAGTCTTGAAGCCCACGGTGCAAAAGGAACAAAACAAAACCTATGCATACAACGTGTGGAAAAGCTGCCAAAATGGAATTTTAGGCCAAATACCCCACCTCCCTTGAGCCCCTAAACATATATTGCTAACAAAACTTCATTTCACAACCCTCTTTTGTATGTTACATTTCCAGCAAAATGTGTTTGGAGAGCTACAATTGCATGGGTAAGCCCTAAATAAAACCCAAGAAAACCCAAAGTTGACCATGCACATTCAGCCTTAGCCACTTGTATGCATCTGCCTGCCTGGATTTCAGGATCTGCATCTTCTTTTTACACTACACCGAGGCACTGTTAAATGCTTAACAGTTCATTAGAGCCACTTCTCACTTGCTCAGGTATCAATCAAGCCAGAATAAAGACATGGAGTCTGAAGGGGAGGCAAAGAGACAAGGAGAGGAAGAAAGGAAGGAAAGGTTTTGCAAGAATTGCATTGTGCCTAAGAAAAAGAAACTCGAAGGAGAATTAAGTCATTTTACCCTCTTGTTTCTAATAATTCTCAGTGTTCTGTACATAGGGCAGCAGCACTTGACATGCACACTATGGAACAAAGTTTGGAGTTGAAAATCTTTTTATTGACGATATTTTTGAGTTTTTGAATTCTCCCCCTTTCTCATATAGAATCACTGTAAAGAATAGAAACAGGCAGAAATCCTTTTGATAAGAAAGTAGTGTCACAGATTGCACTTTTCAAAAACAAGACAGATAATTATACAACTATGAATTTTAACTGCCTCAGCAGTGTGAATATATTCCCTGCTCAAATGGTATCATCTAAACAAAAGAGCTCGTTTGACAAATATTTAGACCTCAATCTCATGAAACGAAATAGCAACAATTCCCAACACTGTTAGTGGTTTGGCAGAAATAAAATCCAGTAACTAAATCAACAGCAGGGAAATAGTGAGCTGTCTGTCTGAGCTGCATACCAAACTCCTCATTTGGCTGTGCTGTGAGCTGGGGAATACGCTGGAGAGCCCACGCGGAGATAGAGGACTGAGTGGCTCAGAGATGGAAGGTGACACTGACCCGTCAGGAGGGCCCCAGGAGTGGCTGAGGGTCCTGCAGATGGGACCAGGAGCTGTCCCACTGCCTTGGCCCCTCTCCCTGCTAGTCGTTGGGTGGTGCAGACCTTGGCCGACGCGCAGCCCCAACGCTGTGTCCCCTGGACAGGCTGTGAGCTGCTCTAGCACTAACAGAGCTGAGACCTGCTCAGGCATGGCAAAACAGGGAGTTGGGTGCTGAGGATAGGGAAGAAGGAGTCACAGAACTGGGAAAAAACAGCAGTGAGAACTGTTGGTGGCAGAAAGTACCTGTGAACTGTTAGTTATGGGACCCACATCTACACTTGGACTTAGATAAAATTGTTCAAGGCTGGGGGAGAGAAGCTGATGGGAACTTTGGGAAGTGCACCAGTGCAGAGGAAGAGGAATGTTCAAAACATAGGGCAGCAAGGTGAGATCAAGTGAATGCAATAACTATCCCAGCTCAGGCTGCTGTGCACCATGCCCTGATCCTATAACCAAACTGCAGGACTGGTGCTCCTTTCTTTCTCAGGACCAGACTTTTAAAGGTGTTGAGACTCTTGCAAACATCATGTGGCATTCTGAAAGCATCTGTGTGCACCAGGGAACATTACAAGAAACTGGATTGCAGCAAACATGAATTTTTCTCTTCTATTTCAGGTCAAGCAGAACTTGAATTTATTGCTTTTGCTGAAGAATCACAGCCAGAAGAAGAGCTTTGTGATGTGCTTCCTTCCCCGAAACAGGATTTGTTGCCTCCACAGCTCTCTCAGCCAGCCTTGCAGGCTCTCAGCCCTCCTGCTGAGCCCCCAGAGAACAGCACACTGAGCTAGGCTGTCAACATTAAGTTTTGGATAAATTTCTAAGAAAAAAATATTCTAGTAGAAAACTCATATATTAACTTTTCCTTAATCCATTTATTTCCAAGCCCTCTAGGCAAACATTTCTAAAAGTATTCACATGCTGCCTTCTCTTTTCCCAGGGCCCACTGCTTTCAGCTGAAACCAAGTTAACTGAGCAGTGACTACAGTTTGAAAACACCACCAAATTCTGTGCTGCATTTACAAATTGACAAAACAAATACTGCTGTGTTAAGGCTAGAACTACATGTTTGTTTGGGGAAAGTCAGACTCTTTCTCCATACAAAGAGCAAGCTGTTGACAAACAGTAAAAAAAAAAAACCCACCCCAACAACCCAACATTTTACAAAAAACAAAGGCCTTGACTGTTATGCTGCTCCATCCCCCCACACCCCCTCAATGCTGCCCTTAGATCCAGCCTGCAAGGGAGATTTTGCTCCAGTTCTAGCTATCAACACGAGTGCATCAGTGCAAACCCCAAATGTAGGGCACAAAGCTGTAACTGGCCCCACTAGAGAGCTGCTCCAGTCAGAAGCAGAGAGTAACAAGTCAATTCCACAAGGTCTGGGAAACATGTCAGGAGTCTTTTTAATAAGCAACAATGAAAAGTTAAAGAAATAATTTATGTCTTAGGTAACAAAACAGTTTAAGTAAAAGAAATACTTCTTGAAAAACTTTCGGTTTCTGTGTCATTTGAAAATTCAAACATATAATACAGCAGCAATAACTTGAGGAAAAATACATATATGAAATGTTGCATTTTAAATCCAGTGTAACAGATAATAAGTGAAAACAACCAAAACCAGCTGAAGAAATGAAGATATCAATGAGAGACAAATTTCCCCAAGTTTATGAATTGTATGTAGCTCAGTAAGTAGATCAAGTCCAAGATTTTCTTAGCAAACATGCAAAAACCACCAAAATAGATGTGAAACCACCACACTCATTACTATCATTTTATTTTTAGGAAAAGCACCAGACAGTTGCATGCAGAGCCAAACCAACAAACTCAGAACATTCATCCCTCAATACTATCACTGTTTCAAATAATTAAATAAAAAAGGATCCAAGTGCATTCAAGTACGTGACCACCCAATTCAAGTTACACCAATCCTTAGGTAAATCCCTGATTACATTTGTTCATTCATTATAAAAGAATGAGATACTTGCTGAATTTAAAAAGAGACTACAATGGAATGGGAATTGGCAGTGGAGCAAATCAATTATGTTCCCATCTCACTGTCTTCATAGGAAGTAAGGGCTGAGGGAAACTGGGATTTGTGTTATCAAATACAGACATCTAAAGTGTCACCTAATAAAGAAATTAATGCCACCAGTGTGTTCCAGGTTCAAAGCAAGGGCTTGTTTGTTAGCACTGTGAGCTTTCAGCTGGGAGTTCTCAAAATACTGATTCCAAATAACGTGCAGCCCTAGAATGACTCAATCCCAAATGTAGCCCATAGCCAGCAGTGCATAGGGCAAGTTCCTTGTTTGCAGCAGTAAATGCAGACTCCAGTTGCAGCAGTTCCCAAATTTGCTATGGAACATTGAAACAAAACCAGGAGGAAATCCTCCTTTGAAAAGCTTTTCATCCAACTGAGAGTACCAGTGTCAGCCCACAAACCTCTGGCTCTGGTTAGCATTGCCAAAAGTTTTGGTACCACAATGAGATGCTGCACTGCCTCTGCTTTTCTGTCTCTGGGCTAGCTGTCCCCTGAGCAACCTAAAACAGAAGTGCTGTGCTTGTGCTTTTTGTTTCCTCACAAGAGCTGTGTGGGGACAGCAGTAAGGGACCAACAAGATACTGGGTTAAGTAGGTAGCAAAATATGTTTAAAGCAATGTGTCTAAACATGTTTTTTTCAATAATTAGTACCACCCCCCATACTGAAGCTGCTAAGTGTTTAATCACCTTCACAGGGTCTAACCCAAACCTGTCCAATTCCAGAGGGATGCAAGGGGCTTCTGGCAAGCTTTGGAATGGACCTTTAACAAGGCATCTTCTCAATAAAAGAAGAATTTTAAAATCCTTTTCAAATACAGTTTTAAAGCAAAGGTAACTGATACTACCTAAGAAATGAATAACCATACCTGCAAAATTAAAATGGGAAAGGGATGGAGTGACACACAAGTTATTTAAACACTTCAGTGCATGTAACAAAACTGCATACAAAAGACCATTTCAACCTGTATTATTGAAAACTGTCTGGAGTACAGACTGTAGCCCCTAGTAACACACCTAAGCAATTCACATGTCCAGATAATGATTCTCAAAAGTTACAGCCTTTCAGAATAACAATTAACAGCTCGAACTATCTGTTTCTTTTATCTTCTCAACATTAGTTTCTTTATGCAGTGGCTTGCTCTTTTCTTCCTTTGCTTTGTTCTGATTCAGGGTGTTTCCAGACATCTGATCCCCACTGGTGGACACAGGATCTAGAACTACAACGGATTCATTGGTCTGTTTTTCACTGCTGGAAGCTTTTCGTGTAATTTCTGTATGACTAGTTGATCTAAAGGAAAAAGAATAAATATATGAATACAGGTAACAGTTCGTATGTTCAGAAGAAAGACTATAAATACACAGAAAAGCATTGCTATTAGTATGACCAGGATAGGTCTACTAAGGTAGTAAACAGATTTATAGATTTAACAGCTGTTACATACAGATGGTAGTGCACAAAATGCAACAGTCACATTACCACTCCTGAATCGTTTGTTCAGCTATGCATGGAAGATGAAAAATGAACTCTTAAGGCACTGAAAAAAATCCTTAGACTATAAAGGGATCAGTTTAAAGACAGCCTTAAGCATTTATTTTCTCTCTGCTCATCTCGGAGCTGGATTTAGGTTCCTCCTTATCCAACAGAGCAGTTCCACTCAGAGAAAATGCTACCAGCTCCTGCAATCTGTGGGCTGACAGTCCTGCAGCCTGGAAAGGAGCATGTGGCTTCCCCACACCTCCACCCCAGAGCCACCTGCACAGGGATGTCACTTTGCTGCACTGCACTGCGGGGAGAGACAGGCACAGTGCAACCAGGTGCTCCCTCCCTGTGGCTGCTGCTGGTCTCACTGGGAACAAGGGCAACTGGATTCTGGAAATTCTCAGTCTGCTGAACTATGGAGGGTGTTAGACCTCCAGTCTGTGCTGCAGAAATGGGGTTACACCACAAGTGCTTGTGGTGCAGGGACTTGTGAGGATAAAAACCCCTGAGTGGGGAGAGAGGAAGGAGAGGTCAGAGACACCAGGGCTGTTGGTCAAGGCTGGCATCAAACCAACTTGTCTATATTCAAGAGCACTTGTCTATATTCAAAAGCTTTGTACTAGTGGTGAAAACATACAGGCAAATCCTTAAATTAGCTGGGATACACCAGCAGAGAACAAGGCAAACACTGGGAACGCTCGACCTGAACAGTGTCAGACTGGGGTGTTCTCTAATGCCACCTTAACCCTGCTGGGTGGGCAGACAGGCAGTCTGCAGGAGCAGGCTGTGCATCCTTCCCTGTGCCTTCCAGAGCCTGCCCATGTGCCCCAGGGCATGGAGCCAGGCAGGCTCAGGGAGGGCAGTCACACCTGTACTCAGCCTGTCTTTAGGCAGAGCCTTACACACCAGTATGGACACACCAACACAGCCACAAGCACCAAACTGGGCAGTGCTAAACCCCTTAGTGCTGGAAGGTCCCACACACACCACTGGGTGTGCAGCTCTGCTCCCAGCCGAGCTGTAGAGCTGCAGCATACAACTGCATTGGCTAGTGCAAAGTCCTTTTTTTTCCCCCCATTTTTCTTTTTTTTGAATTTTTCATGCTCACTTATATGGAACAGCCTTCCATACTGGTAAACACCCTTGCCATGAAAAAGTAGAATCAACTGGAGACCAGAGAAAGAAATTCAGCTACTGGATCCATCTGCTATGAACTGCCCTTTATTGTGACAGTCTTTGTCCTAGAGAAAATGACAAAGAAAAGAGAGGTCACCCCACTCAACAATTAGAGCTGGGGTGGGCAATGTATTAGCTTCCACCTGACAGGGAGCGAGTAAAGGAACGGGTTAAAAACAAATAAATAACCACAGAAACAACAGTTGCTGCACTCTCCATTTCAGACAGAATTTACTCAGCTTGCTGCTGCAGCACTGGATACAGCAAATGAAATTCCATGTTCAAGCTTTAATTACAAGAATTGTCTCTAACAGTAGAACTTTGGTATAAGTTAATTAATGCAGAAATTGGCACTAATAGATACAGTTTCAGACTCATTTGATTATCATCAGAAGCTAGTGATTTCATAAGGAAAATAATGCTTATTTTATGCAAAAGTTGCCAATCATCCCTGAAAAATACAAGGTGGGGAATTTTGAGTGTTACAGCAAATTAAAATGTTTAAAGCAGAGTAAAAAGAAGAGGGTTATTTTAAAAAGTGCTACTTTTGAAAAGGTGATTGCCCAACACTATCAAAATGGTCAAGCCATAAATGCCAAGTTCATTTTTATTTCACTTTGGAGGTAACTATCTTTCAAATCCCAACAGCTGGACTATTTAATACAATCTGGTGAATCAAAGTGTAATTCGTCACTGGGCTCACAGTGGGGAGTCTGCATTAGTGGATGGCAGCATTCCAACAACTGATGCACAGCCAAACCCTCTGAAGTCTGTTTCATTTAGAACAAGAATGGATAAAACTGCAATCATATTTACCACCTTCAAAGGACAGAAAAATGAAAGATGTCGATATAAAGTCATTTAATGGCAAAACCCGGTGATTAAATCAGTGTTTCAGGCATAAAAATAAGAATTACTATCTGACTTTGTTGTACTAGTATTCCCTTCTTCAAGTCCTTTACACTGGTGCAGTACCAGCCTGACAGTGCTGCTCTTACAGCTGAGGTGCTGTGAAAAATTATTAACCCTAGTTATCAGGTATTCATAGCTCACTTTCAACAGTGTGTCAAGAGCAGAATGTTTCAGAGCAAGAGTGAACGTAATTTTGGTGCTCCCTTTCAAAAAACAGTTTTTTACTGTTACAAATAAATATGGGAAAAACAATCAGTACAAACAGAGTTTGCCAGAGTTCTGAAGAGTTATAGATTTGTCCAGACAAGGTATTTGCATTTAGTTCTATGCAAAGCTCTTCCCTCATTAAGATTGTTAATGCTTTTATCAGTATTCTTGTTATTTGTCCAAGCAGAAATTGAGAACCTAGTTCTATTGTCCTCATTCACACACAAGTGTTCATAAGTCTGCATTATTTTTATGACTAACCACATCTATTCTGATGACTAAACACATAAAATCTGTACGTGAAATCCAGATTTGGATGATAAATGCACTTTAGATTCATTCTATGGGATATACAACGTCCCACGCAGCTTGTGCTAAGAGAATCAAAGGTAATCTACTCTATTCATATAGTTACAGAACCTACAGAAGGTGCAAAACTAAAGGGTTACACCTGATGGGCTGTCTGGGAGCCAGCACTGCTGCACCCTTTGTATATGATTTACACCAGGAGTACAAAAGGTCAAACCAAGGATCAGACTGTCAACTGCAACTTGGAATTCCTTTGTTCCCTCCAGTTAATACTAGAATCTTGGTATTATTAACCTTGCTCAGTGCTCTGTTCATGAAATCATTGTAATAAGTTTCCATTAAGAAACCAGAATTTTATGTCAATATCATGGAAGACTTTTTGGGTGACATCTCATCCAATTATCTGACTAAAAGCAGAAGACTAAAGGAAATCATTCCAAGAAAACACTGCAGGGAAATCCATGTTTTTTACAGCATATTTAGAAAATATTAGCAAAAATCTATCCCAACCAAGAATGGCTTTGTAAGTACACAGTAAAAGCATGGGAGACTCCACGTAAACCTTCTGCCTGGAATTCAAGGTGGTATGAATGAAGCCATTTCTGCTACAAAAGCTAATTTTATCCTCAAAAAAATTTATTGGGAGTAAAAGCAAATCCCACAGATGTGTTTATTAAGTATTTCAGGATTCTTAACAAGGCAGGGGAATAAAACAGAGAGGAGCAAAGGCTAAACCTGAGCAATAGTCAAAATACACTAATTCCAAGGGATGAACATTTTCAACAAACAAAAATTTCCATTATACTACTACCAGTATCTGTCCAAAGGAAATTACAGGAAACACAAACAGTGACACTAGTGAATCAGTTTTGTTGTTCACTTCTCTGACAGTAGCAGTGCTGCCTGCAACACCAGACACTTGTGAGCAAAGTGCATGAAACCCTCTCCATTTCAGACTTCCTCTGCTAAATCTGGCTGAGGAAAAAGGTGGCCAACAGAGCAGCCAGCAGAGCAGAACTGCAGACAACCTTTAATATGGAGATTGCTCCCATTTTTTGGTGCTAACTGCAGACAACCTTTAACATGGAGATTGCTCCCATTTTTTGGTGCTTTATTTGAAAATGCTCAAAAAAGATCAGCAAATTAATCTAAATGAAGAATCTTGGAGAGCTTCTACCTGCACTGAGGAAGCATATGGAGAAGTAAATGCTAAGGAAAAGATGTGACAGTAGTTTTGAAAACAGTTAAAATTGAGGAGGCCTCAAACTTCCAGAACATCCCATTGTTTTCTTTGTTGTTCAAACTAAATTGCCCATGTTCAAGCTGCACTGGAAAACCTCTGCAGTTCTGTCCAGCTGAGGCTGAGCTGCTCCCTGCAGAGCTGGTAGATGATTCAGGGGTACTAAGATTACAGGCAGGAGAAGGAGGACAAATCCTTTAATTGTATAAAATCATCAGATTAAGACTAACCCTCTCTGTAGCTCACTCTGTTAGCAGAGAACTCTGCTGGCCAGAAACACAATGTTTCCAAAGTCTGAAAAAACCCCATCAAACAACTAAAAACGCAGGGCCAGAGCCAGACACACCTTTCCCTTCTGTGCCTACACACTGCAGGGGGTCACAGGAACACTCCTGGCTCTCAAGGGAACTAAATTGTCACCTATTCTCTCTAAGCAGTTGTCACAGAATTACACTCATGCTGGGTTAAACATTGGGGGAGAGATTGGCAGAGGAAGTTACCTGCACACTGAGGTAAGGTCTCAGTTTCTCTATAGGACACACATTACTGATGTCTCCCCATCAGCACCACCTCAGCACAATTTCACACATTCCAAATCATCTGCTTAATGGCCTCAGACCCTTCTTCTAACAATCTCCTGCGCTGAAATAACATCTTACCTAGGGTTTTCCAACTCAAATTTTTCTTCTGAATTCAGTTCTCTGAGCTATCATTAGTCAGTTGATTATTCCAGAATCGACCTGTATTTGTGGATGTTGCAGCCCTTTTCCCCAGTCCCTCCCTTGGCCACTCACACGAGTGGACCAGCTGACTCAGCTGGAGGCCAGTGCTGTGTTTACACTGAACCACAGCAGTAACCATATCATGTGTGGAGTCCTACTTCAACCAGACACTGAAATGCTTTACCCCTCTGCATATTTAGGTTAGATTGTCTAACCTAAATCAGGGACAGGGAAGATTCAGGATTTTACTCAATGAGCTGTCTATCTACTGTTCACAGATACATTTTCAAAACTGGTCTTTTTCAAAGGTGTGACCCTCCCTCCATGAGAAGGTTGTGCTCAACAGCTACTCAACATGAATAAAGAATGATGAATATAGGGCTGAGGTAAATGTTTCCAAGTATCACCTCCTCCCTCAGATTACAAGCCTTAGGAAATGGATGGTGCAGCACAGAGAACTATCTCATGCACAGCTATTCCTAAGGTTTTCTATAGGAAGTCATACATTAAAATCTAGGTGAAGAATAAAGAATAAACCCTGCACTGCAAGAGACACCTGGTAATTATGAGACATGCAGTCCTCTGCTGTGCTGTGAAAGGTTTGCTTGGCTGCTGCAAACAGCTGAAGTAAGTCACACCTTTGTCAGATTTCAAGGAATTGCAAATGATGAGAGAGCTGCATCCTTAATCTAAGGTAGGAATAAAGAAAAGAGAAGCCACAATAAATGTCTGCATGCCTCTGGTACTGGCCCAGGCAGTGTACTGTCTGCTTAGTTAAGATGGGCTACTTTAGGGAACGGTGTGGTGCCACGGGAGAGACATGGAGAGGGAAACAGCCTGTGCTTCAGCACATGTTTGGGGAGAAGGTTATTCACTGATGTAGCTCTTATATGGCCCCCAAGCTACCCATTAAAGGCTGGATCACATTTCTAGTTTAGTTTCACCCATCCAATGAATCCAGGGATCCAGTTTATGCACTAAGAATAGTCCAGGATGCAAATCAAAGCACAGCAAATGGGGCCAATAGGGAGATTTGCTGCAGAAGTGCTCTGCTGATCCAAACTAAACTGCTAGTACAGAGGTACCCAGGGAAGCCCAGGAAATGGTCTGACTTTAGAGCCAAGCTGTGAGACATGCTAGCCAAATGAAGTTCCCTCTGATGCCTGCTTCCAATGAGCCCAGGTTCCAAACACCTCGGGGTTTGGATGCTGCTTCCACCAACCTCTGCAGCAAACAGCACCCAGGAGAGAAAAATAATTTCACAGCAACATGGTATGGGGCCTCCTGGTTACTCCTGCTCCTCCCTGCCAGCCTGGCTGCAGAGGAGTAGGAGAGCCCCAGTGCCTTCTCTCTCACTGGAAAACCATCCTTAATGATGAGTCTTTCCAATTAAGCAGGTTTACACCAGTGACTCAGTGCACAGAAGCCCTGCAGCACGAAGAAGTCTGGCCCACCACATTTGTTTTAATGCTTTAAACAGATAAATTAAAGTGAAATGTGTCTTTCAGGATGTCACTGAATAGGCAAGCTGAGAAATAAATTGAGCTTCACATATGCTTTTATAACACATAACAACTGTGACTGTCAACACAAGATCCTTTTCACTGTCAATTCACCACGCATTCTGCAAGACCTTGGGGCCTACAATTATTTCCTTTCTTGTAAATGCAATTTCCACTTAGCTCTGTGGAAGAAAGGTAGACAAAAGTTGGCAGGAGTTGCTTGTATTTTCTCAGCTGTTCAAAATTGTAGAAATCCACGAACTACAAACACAGTATTTTTCAGGAACAACCTCACCTTTCTGGCAGGGTAGGGGTTCAAGCAAATGCAATGGCATTATTCAGGTCAAATTAACTGTTGAACAAATCTTCATCTCTCTGATTAAATTAAAATGAAGACTGTTTTCCTTGTAAGGATACTTAAGTGAAATAAAAGGGGAAAATACATATGATTGGAAAAGGCATTCTGTTTTTAACACTCAGTACAAATTAAATACAACTGTAGAGCACAAAAGGAAATTGGGATCTTTATCCATTCAAAAATAAATTATGAAAGTACCTGCAGAAGAGTGAAGAATCAGTTCATACAAGTAGATGTGAACTGAATATCCAGCTCGTTTCTCATGACTTACTCCTCTGAACCAAACAATGGAGACTTGCTAGAGTTGGTACTGGTGGTATTTTTTAACTGACAGGGCAGGAAATCAGAGGTTTAATTACCCGTGATTACAATATTCTGCCAATCTGATTTGTCTCATCTATTTCCCTTTCTTGAAGTGACAAACTGACAAACAACTTGGCAAGGGAACTGAAGCAAGTGCACAGTTTAATTCCAAAGGAGCTTGGTATTGTAAAACAAACCAATCTTCCAGGGAATCTGTCTGAAATAAATATTGCTGACACAGGTTTAACTCTCTGATGCTGAACTGGCACCTCAGGTTTTCAATCTGCTGTGACAAAAGATTCTGCTGCCCATCTGTGTAAATGCAGAACTAACTGTATTTTTAACTTTTTTAAAGAATGTTGACATTTCAAGGTAATTCAAAATTTTTACCAATAAATTTAAGAGCAACAGTCAAGGACTTGTTTTGGTCCAACAGAAACTGCACACAGACCAATATGACTCACATGATTCTATTTTTTAAAACACTCTGCTAGAACTACTCTTTTAAAAAAAAACATCAATAGTTAACTATGTAAGTATCTTCACTCTTCAAGATATGGGGAAACACCTCAGCACTGCTATTTCCTCAGGAACTCGAGATTTTTTTGGCACAGAAGATGAACTTTTATTTGAATAATGTTCACAGACTTTAGAGGTAAAGAACTTTATTACCAAGAATTTAATTTCTACTTCCATGTGAGACTGCAAATTATTTGAGGAGTCAGTGGCAAACAGCTGCAGAATGTACATTTATCTTGTTAACCAGAATTGATATTAAATCACTTTCAAAATACACCAGCTAAACAGACCTAGTACCAAAATATATCTAGAAATCCATATTATACTTACTGTAAAGTAGGCTTGGAGCCTGTTGCACCCTTAGGCTGGTTAGAGACAGGACCTGAGTCGGGGACTTTGGAAGTGAACTCTGTCTCCACATCTTTCTTGTTCAGAGCTGTCTGTGCAGCACTAGCTCCAGAACCTAGCACAGGCAGAGATTTTGATTCTGATGTGGCCAAGATTCCAGTCGGACCTAAAACCCAAAGAAATTTAATGATTCTGTTAACCAGACTGATGTAGAAAAAAACCCCACATGAGCACAGCAGAACTCAAGCTAACTGCAGAAATCAAAATGGAGTTTTACTGAACAGCGTCCAGTGCACAGAGAGTGTCACAGAATGCTAAGGGTTGGAATGGACCTTCTAGATCATCTAATCTCAACCGTCCCATCAGAGCAGGTTGCTCAAGGCTTCATCCAACCTGGCCTTGAACACTGTGTTGGGGCAGCCACAACCTCCCTGGGCAACCTGTGCCAGTGTCTCACCACCCTCACAGGAAAACATTTCTTCCTAACATCTAATTTATATTTCCCTCTTTCAATTTATACCCATTTCCTGTCCAATCGCTGCAGTTCCTAACAAAGATTCTCTCTCCAGCTTCCCTGTAGGCCCCTTCAGATACTGGAAGGTTACTCTGAGGTCTCCACACAACCTTCTCAAAACCTATCAAAATACCTATTTGCAGATTTTGCTCTCCTGGCTAAGATTAACCCCTTCTTGTACCACAAGTAGCACCTGCTATATTGACACAATTGTGCACTCAATCTCCTTCTCTTCTGGGGTGCTAAGTCCTGCTGCCCACACTGCACTCCCCAGTCAACTTGCTGGTGCTCTCCCAGCCTGGAGTGCAGTGGGAGTGAGAGGCAGCCTGATGACAGAAAAGCCTGTTCTCAGTACTAATGAGGAGTCACTGAACCCTCTCCAAAGTCCAAGATAAAACTATACAGTGACATTCAAACCAGCCACATCAGCATCAACCACAGCACAGAGTTACACTTGCACAGACTGTGTTTGCAACCAAGCAGAACATCCAACAGTTTCCTACAAATGCTAGTAAAACACAGCATAAAAACTGCAGACCCTTGTTCTGCAAAGGAGCTTAGTTCAAATCATCACTCCTAAAGCCTCATTTCTCTGGTTATCATTACTTTCAAGAGTATTTTCACAGTAGGCTCAGACTATTAACTCCAGCAACAATGTCTGAGCTCCAGGCTGGAAAGAGGAACCTGAGTGTATGTGACTGTGTGTGTAGAAAATCCTGACAGAGGCATCTCTTGGAGAAAATGTGGATGAAAAGCAACGGGTGCGATGGGGAAAGGAGTCACTGTAGAAGTAAACAGAGTTCTCCATAATGGCTGCAATGGCATGGTCTGGAAGAGAAAGTAAAGCTTCAAGAGTCACTTAATGCAGGGAGAGGAAGAGGACTACAGAAGAGTCCACTTACTGCCACTGTCCTGGTCCGTGGTCACTTTCCGGCGCCGCAGAACTCGCTCCAGCTCTGTTTCACCACTGTCTGTTTCAAGGGACTTCAAGCTTCGGGAACTAGTGGATTTATTCAGTGTTTCCTACAGCAAGAAATAGACGTGAGAAACTGAGGACATATTATGCCTTGCCAAGAATCTTATAAACACAACTTCAGAATCTTTTAAACTTCAGAAAAGCAACAGCAGTTCCAGAGTAGTGTGCCAAGCTCTTCCATTACTACCACAGTGAGTATCACCACTCCTACCCTTACTTGGATTTCCTGATGCAGGGATAAACCACACTTACCTACACATTAAGGGGTTGATATCAGGCTTAAGAAAGATGCTCTAGATCACTAATGAACAAATTCTGATGCTGGCAGGGGACTTTATCTTAAAAAACTGCTAGAGCATTATCATGCCCATAATTAACCTCTGTTAGCAAAACACCAAAGATACATATTTCACTGCTCCAGCAGGTTTTGTATTTTAGCATAGTCCCATGTTTCTGTGTCCTGGTGTGTAAATTTATCTCCAGAAGTCAGTATGTACTAGCTACAACTGCAGCATGTTATATCCTGTAATCGAGCTGATCTACCAGAAATCTGACCCTATGGCTACAGACTCCAAGGTTTCTCTTTGTCATAGACATAGATCTCAAGTTGAAACAGTTTTTTATACATACAAACCAGAAATGCATGTTATTACTGCCTTATGCCAAGGTTAGCATGTAGCAGCAGTGAAGCTGCCAGTACAGCAGCACTTTTCTTAAGGTGAGGGATAAAGAGGCTTTAAGAAAAGCCTGAAACTTCACAAACTTTCCCAGAGGAATTTAAACATGCATATCGTTCTCAGCATATAGCTCTCAACTCTTAGCACTGTAAATCACAGCTCACAGGCAAAGATTATGCTTTCATGAAGATGGTAAGCAGTATTTTAAAGTAGCCACATTCAGGTATTAGGTCTAAGTGTTGCATAAAAGGAAGAGATACTGCTAAATACAGTCTACTTCTTGATCACCCCCTTATTCTCTTTATGAGTTCTGCCATCTTTAGGAATGCCTAGGAATCCTGTTTATTCAGCCTTCCAAAACATATCAGACTCCTATAGCAATTTCCCAGACCATGAATAACATACTCTTGACATCTTTTGTTGACAAGCACATAACTTCTGAGCAGAAATAGCCAAGGACCAAAGGAAATGGCATTGCAAGCTGTGCTACTTTCAGGAACCCAGGAAAGTAACTCTGAATTCTTCACCCCTGCCCAAAAGTTAAATATTTTCTTCTGCAACTATTTCGAGTTTAACTGAGCAAGTACATTATCATTAGCAATATGCTCCAGATCTGTACAAATGTACACATACAAAAGCAAGTAAAAAACCAGAGTCACTCAAGCTCTGCAATTTACAGAACAGAAACGTGTTTTGTTTGTAACAATTACATGGAGGTCTACATAAAATGCATAATTAGCATAGTAACAACAAATGTTTACTCCACCACATTCCACCCCCATGTTTGTTGTCTGACTGTGCATAATCACTGGTCTCAAGAATAGACTGGAGCTGGATTTTATTTATACAGTTTGTCTTACACTGCAAATACCCTGAAAGGCTCAAAAGCAAAGAGCCAGACACAGAAGTGCAGTGACTGCAGGTTTCTCTCTGCTCCCTCTGAAGCACATAATCAAGTCTCCTCTGATGTCAGTGATACAGTGTTGAAGAAATAAAACAGCTATTAGAAAACGAAAGGACCTTCAGCAG